AATGATAGAGCAAACAGCTGTGTACAAAATGTCACATTTTCCAGCTCTCAACGATGTTTTTGACTCAAGATACATCAATCCTACAGAATGCGCAAAAGTCGTTTTTCTGTTATTTCGCATGGAAACATCATTTTTCTGCCTTACGTAGGTTTGTTGTATCTCGTGTGTAGGACGCCTACACTCTAGCTCGCCGTTTTGCAGATCATTGCGACACAAGGTAAATATTTTATTACTGCGTAAAAATCGTCAAGTATGTAGGCCGAATGCGTACCCGGCTGGTTACACAAATACTGTCGTCCGCAAAGTATTTTATTTATAAAAATTAACGACTTTGATCATACTATAGTTCGTGCTCGTTCAAGTATTTATTATTTAAATAATGTTTTTCTAGCGCATGGAACATAAATAACGACGCTTTTTTTTTTATTCTTTCATTTCTCGTTAACAAAACATACGACCGATCAGCTGATATGATTTCTCTACTATAATAATTTATTATTTTGTGTAATAAGTAATGACCGACTAATCGTATATTAAAATAAATTTCGTCTTTAATATATAAACATGATAACTTGAATGTGTAGAAATGACTTTTCTCTAATGTTTTTTATTTAAGTTCAAAATTTTTTATAGCAGTTCGATTGATCTGCTATATGCTTCAGCTAATTTTTGAATAATCTTTTATTTAAGTATTTTATTGTTAAACCTTGTAGAGAAAACATTGATGCAGAAAAATTATGTTTAATTAAAGAATAGTATAACTTTGGAATAGATTTCAAAGATGTTCATCGCGGTACCTAAGCTTTGTAGTCGTCTTATATTTTTGAAAATGGTTCTGTAATGTCCTCTATTTTAGACATTCGACCAATAATTCTTACATATTTCAAAAAAGGTAAAGTTCTTTTAAAAGTGGTATACTTCGTGTCGAGAAAAAACAATGTTACTGATTTACGTATAACTGGCTTTCTCAACAGCAATACAAATAAAAGTCACTGGTAATATATTGATACTTTTCGGTTCACTATCGTATTTATAACGTTTAGCAAGTGGTTCAATTCGCTGAACCATTACTTGCGCAAAAAAGAATTTCACAGCCTTAGCTCTTCTTCGAGATAGAACCGAAGATACTGAAAAAACATAGACACTAATGTCTTTTAGCTACTCATATCTTTCATTACAACTACGAATGGACAACTGATGGTATCCATTACTACGTAGTGCAGATGATTAAATGGTCAATGTACTATAATTTTCATGAGCACAGCGTTGACAATAAATAAAAGATGTATCATAGTAGTTATCTTGGCTACATCTATTATTTATAATATTGACGGACGTTGTCGTATATTAAGGAAGATTTAGTAAAAGTGCAACTACTGAAAGTTAGGAGGACTCACGCTCTAATTCACATTCATGATTTCGTTACAAAATATGGTCTAATTTAAATTTATAAATAAGAAATGGATTGTTGAACAACAACAAAAAGAACAACAATCACAGTTAATTCAACAATCTTTATCTATTGAAAAGTATATCTCCCTCTAGCATTATTGTTCATATTTAAATGTGCGTTGATTATGAAACTTTTAGGGGCGTCATAAAATAATCATCCAACTCGTTAAAAATATAATAATTAAGTACTTCTTTTATAGTTGTTTTCATTCTATGCGTCACTGTCATTTTTTTGATAATCCTAAAAGACAAAGAATTTGTTATATATTTTTCGACATATTATCAAAGAATTACTGTAAAGTCTGGCGATGATCGTTTTATTTTGAAGAATATTGCAAAAATGGATGAATTTTCATAGGAACTTCAATGTCTACAAATGTAAAACTCTGAGAGTCAAAGAATCTCATTAATTAGTATCAACAGTTCTAGTACACTTCAGTCATAGCAATGAAATTCGAAATTTTCGTTTGAATATCATTGCGACACGGCAGATTTTCAACTGCGATGGATATCTCTGATTGATCTATTAGAAGAAAAAATAAATTTTGAAAAAAATATATATTTATTATCTATTTTTATTTCGAACTATTAGTTAACGTATAAAATAAAGTAATAAAAAACGAATTTGTAGAAATACTAATGTTAAGAACTTGTCGAAAAAAATAAAACTTCTAAAAATATGATTGAATGTTTATTGGAGAAGATATGAAATTACGAGTAAACCTAATAGTTAAATTTGTCAGTAAAATAAATTTTTTCAATAGATCTTATATTTACGTTGTAGACTTTTTACATTTTTTGAAATGAACAAATCTGATTATTTATTTGTTTATTTATTTTTTTGCCTTAGAAAATCTTGGCAAAAAGTCAAGTTTAATATCCTAGAAATGAACAAAATAGAAAGTATAAACAACCACAAAAAACAAATTCAAGAGATGCAAATGGAACTTGAAACATTAACTTTAAAAGGTCCTCATTTGGGTAGTTCTTATGATCATACAATTGGTTTTCGCATCGGTCACCTTAGAGCACAAATTCATCTCGCCACCTTGGAGCGCAATCACGAAATCAAGACATTTTATTCTCAATTCAACAAGAATTCCTAAAAGACATGTTTTTTTTCTTCTTTTTTTTTACAATTAATTTTGAAAAGAAAAATTTCTATTGAATTATTATTATCATTAGTATTCAATATTTTCTAGTTTAGAATAAAACAAATAAATAATACAAAATGTAGTTTTCATTATTTTGATTCATATAAGAAAGAATCACAACAATAATGTTCAATAAACAATTATGAGTTTCTTCTTATTTTATTTTTTAAATAATAAGAATATTTATTAATGAAAGAATATACAAATTTCATTTTAAACTAATGTAGCTTAAAACGTAATATGTATTTTGTTTTCTTTTTCAAAAAAAGAATAATTCAGAAGACCATCAAAGCAACAGAAAAGATCGAAATATTCTTTTTTGGAATAATTCAGTCTTTTTTCAAAAATTTTATTCATTCATATAATATTTCTTAAACATGGCTTTTCAATTTTCTATGAGTAGAGGGATAAGTCGATGTATTGATCGATGATGGCGACGTCGGTTGAAATTTTCATAATTCCAAGAAATTTTGAATAGAAAAAGAGAGAAAACCAGACGTCAATACCTCCAAAAAATGATTTAGGAAATCGGAAGTTCTTAACAACTATATATTTATTTTTGTGTTGCGACGGCGGCGATGATTCTGAAACAATTTAAAAAATATTTTCAATTTCTTTAAGTTGAAATAATTATTTTCAAATAAAAAACTAATTTTGAGATGGACCAAACAGAATTTTGTGCTCTTTCAGAAAGTATGTTTAGAATTTCTTTGGAGAAAATTTTATAGAATATATTGAAACATACAAAAAATAATCCTCTGCAAAGCAGTAAATTTTTTTGCAAATTGTTGAGATGCAGTAAAGGATTTTATACAGTTTATCGCAATAAAAGTGGTCATGTTTTTTATTTTCGTCTTTCCAGGAAACTTTGAGTACTATCAAGAATTACTTAGAGCTCAATAGCCAAAAGTTACAGAAAAACTCGAAGTATATATTCTGCAAGACCACACAATTTTGATTCTAATGCTCTATTTCTCACTGTTGTTCAATGTATTTAGATACACAAGAAATAGTCAAATATGTTATCTCGAAACTATTTTCAAATAGGTATTAAATTGCTACTTCTTACATTTCAAATAAATATATTAGAAGATTTCTTTTTATAATTTCTTTTATAAAATGTTGGCATAGTTTTTTTAAAATAATCAAATATAAAAAATATGTTACAAGAGAAAGTAGCATCCAGGAAAATTTAAAATTTTCCTAGGAAAAATAAAAATTACACCTAAACAAATGTTGCGTGCATTACTTAAGTAGATGTTCTTGTATCATGTTCTTATTACTATGGAATACTTTGATAAATTACTTGATAATCATATGGATACCTATCAATTATGCACAACAACATGCATAATCTCCTCACGATTTCTAGCACTCAATCTATTGGATCTATTTAACTGTAACTTTCGTGGCTTACGAAACGTCGATTTAACAACATTATCAATAATGGTATTCACTCAAGCCTCGAAAGTGTAGGGCAGTGTAGGTTTAATTACTTTTATTGAGTATATAACGGTAATGGCGCTTGTTCAACAAAGAAATGCTGTTGTCGAGCAGCAAAAATACAGTTTGATACTAAATGTGGTTCATCGAAAATAATGAAGTTTATACTATATGTTCAGGAATATTTCAAAAATGTCCTTTAGGAAAAAAAGAGATTTTAATTTATGTAAGAAGAAACAGAATTTTTTTATTATAAATGACATTGCACAATTTTTTATTAGTAACTACAATGTACTCTGAAAATGTTTTCTTCACAATTAATTTGAATTTGGGTAAAAAAACACTTTGCAATCATATATAGCTAGAACCAAAAGTCATAAGCTGTTCCCCCGGTTCTTATAAGTACCACGGTATATCGACAATAGTGCGAACAGGGAAAAAAAACATGTTAGAAGAGGAAATTGATTTTGCTAATAAGAAAAATGAGGGTCAGTGACGAAATGAACACTTCCTATAAAAGCAACATTATTTCTTCTCTACTTGATTAACAACTGATAATAATTGGCACTTATTTTTAGTGTCCAAGAGAATAGTGTGCTTGAAGAGTACAACAAAGCATTGACTTTTGCATTTCTTCACAATATTTTTTTTAACTCAGCAAAGTGAGAAAAAGTAAAAAAAGGAGGTATACATTCATTTTAGTACCGTTGCATGTATTCTTCAAACAAATAAGAAAGAAAAAAGCTGCACTGTTAACTTATTTCCTTTTCTTCTATTTCATGCTGAAATTCATTCTATTAGATGCTCGTTCACTCCAAAAGATAAAAAAGAAACATATACACCTATTGTGTCTGACTCGTGTGAATTCTGTCTTTATTTCATATGAAACTCCATGGTCTAGTTAAGTCTTGTTAATATAGTGAAAGAATTCTGTATACTTAGAAACAACAGATGACAACACAAGTGAAGTCTATATTTAACCTTTCACGTCTTCAAAGTATACTTGATCAACTAACAACGTACACAATCGTATGCTTCGGTATTTTTCAAATCGACGAGAATCATATTAAAGTCGTGAAGAAATTACAACAAAGATTTACAAAAATTAAAAAATTTGAAGACTATAAATTATGTGAAGAATATATTAAAAGTAATGAAAATATTAACGAAAAAATTGTTTTAATTATTACTGATCATCAACTACTTGAAAAATTGCACGATGAGACGAGGATAATAGCTATTTATGTGTATTTTGATACTAAAACAGAAGAAGAATTCAAAGTCTCTTTCTTTCATGAAAATTTTTGCCTCCTAGAAAGCACGACTTTCCGAAAAAGATAACAATACTGACGGGTTTTTTTCTTTGTTTAACATATTAGGTCAAAGCTAATCTTTCCAATCTAAACGATCTTATTAAGAAATTAACTAAAGATCAACAAATTCTTCTACGAAAAGATGAAACTTCAAGACCAAATATATATAATCGTTCTAAACGTGATTTTTTTTTGATCTATGAACAACGCAATGCTGAATTTCTGTATTTTCAACTATTTCTTGGAAGTCTTATGAAAATGTCATATGATGATATTAGAGCTAAACAGAAACTAATTGATCCTTGGCGTATACACTGCTCTAATAACACAGAACAAGAGAAAAACAATTGCAATTTTGAAACATCTTATAATCCAATGCAAGATGTATATTGGTATTCAACGGAAATGTTTTTCTATTCAATTTTAAACAAAGCATTTCGTGATCAAAATATTGATACTTTATTTGCAATGCGATATTTTATTCTTAATTTAACTCACCAATTAGCTGATCAACATTGTAAATTTCTACAGAAGTCAAATAAAAAGCAATTGACTTCGTATCGTGATCAAAAAATCTTCATGGATGAACTCGAGCTGATACACAATAGTCATGATCAATTTATATGTTCCAATAGTTTTCTATCAATTTCAGCTGATAAAGAAGTTGCGCTGGCTTTTGTTGATATCATTCCTACCGCGACATCGATACCGATTTTGTTTGAAATTACAATTGATACAAATATGAAAACAGTACCTTTCGCCAAGATAATTGATCAAAGTACTTTTGAAGACGAAACTGAAACCATAATCAACGCGGATGCAATATTTCGAATTGATGAAGTTAAATGCAACAAAAACAAAGAGATGCTGACGGTCAGACTGCTATGGTGTAGTGGAAGAACTGAAAATTCGTCTGCGAATGGATGCCACCGGTACTCATATTAACATTGCAACAAACTATATGGCTATTGCCAGTGTCTATAAATCGAAGAAAAAATACAAATTGGCATTTAAATATGTAGTAAAAGCTTACAGAATCGTACCATCAAATCATGAAGATTTATCAAAACTCTATACAATAGTAGCAGATATTTATCAAGGTAACAATCAATTTGAGTTAGCGGGAAAATATTATCAAAAGGCGCTGGATTCAACCTCAGTCTATTTTTCTGAAAACCATGTTGAAATTGCAGTCGTATACACAAATTTTGGAGCTTTATATAGTAAACTCGGTGGAAATGCTGAAGCACTGGATTATTATTTTAAAGCTCGAGAAATATTCCTTAGATCATCTTTAAAAGGTCACAAAAATTTTGTAGAACTGGAAGAAGAAATGAAGGCGAAGACGGAAGCAATTGTTGACAAGTTTTTCGAATCCTACGATAAGAAACGTAGGAAAAAATAAATAGAAAAACTATGTAAAGGAAGACTTGTGATTATCAAGGCATTTAGTGACTGTCTGTCCTATATATGTAGCTTAAAATTCTATCGTTAGTTTCTTAATAAAAATTGTATGCAGAACGATGGCTTTCATCGAAAAGTGAAGAGAAATTATCTACTCATCGATTACTGACTAAGGAGTTGTTGTTTTAATTAGGGTACGAGTATGAATGTTAATGAACAGAGGGATCACACACAAAGTCACATCCAAGCGCAACATGTTTAGATGCTTCCTAATTGACATAGAATAAGAGAAAAAAAATCATCGAAAGAGCTCTATTAATAACACTTTCACATAGATATTTGTTGATTGTTTCAAATACATAGATTTCATGATCGATTTTTTGCATTTGTACGCTTTCAGAAGAGCATGTATTGGTTGATACGAAAGAGTGAGCTATCGAATAACTAGGTCATAAACCAATGGGTTTGTGTCGAGATCTTTTTTGTTGATCTTTAGAGTATGGGACTCTCATGAACAGTATTGATGCTATAGCAAGTATGAGCAATGCTTGGATTATTGGTATTCGGATGAATAATGATTGTTTTTTTCATAGAAATGAATATTGCACTTTGATATAATATTATTGCTTGCTTGTTATTTTCTATCGAAATGGAACAGCAGCAATTTTATTCAAAGAATGATTGTTTTGCTGAGAGATCTTTGTGTCACAATACATAAAAGTTGCTCATTCTCAATAACATATGCAAAGTTAGCATGAAACATAATATTTTCTAAAGCATATTCAGTCTAAGACAACAAAGAAGTCTGTTTATAACGGACACTTTCACAAATCAAGTCAAGTTAAACCTGCTTCAAGTTGAATTCAAATAGGAAATTTTCAGTTGATAGTAACGCGATTCCGACAACGGGATCGAAAGATACCAACTATTTCAGGAACAATTACTTTAAAAACTTTAGGCAAACTATCGAAAAAACTCCAAAAGTTTTAATCATGACGATAAGTCAACGATGACTACTAACGTATGAATAATTGCACACCAAATGTTTACAATGAATGAATATAGTAAGCCTCATACAAGCTAGTAGTTATTCACTCTTCTTCCAACATAAACTGTGCAACAATGTCATCAACTGTTGAGTCTAGTGCGCATCGACTTTGTACATTAGAACTGAGAAGCGTTGCATTATGAATGCTTTGAAGATCACCTCACTCTCAGTAGAACTACGTCAGAAATGATATAACAATGATAGAAAGCTTCTTTTTTTGTTAAGTAAGCTTGTTTAACATTGAAATATTGAACAAAAACTAAAGGCAATCGAAAAGCAGTCACAATGTCAAAAGGTTTTGCAAAAAAAAGCAATAGTTATAGTTAGATGATTTTTGAAGTTCAAACTTTATGCTTCTTATTGATCTTTTCGTTGAGCTATACGTGCTTGCCAGTAGCATAGTATTGGTGTAAAAAATAGTTCTGCTATTATTGCGATTAGAGTAAATGTATCTGGCATAATACCCAATTTGAATAATCCAACTACTCGTGCTAAACCACCCATAAAAACCATAAATGCAAATATGCGAACAATGATTACAGCTTGTGAAATACGTGGAATTATATAAAACCACATAGTAAGTCCAAAGCCTAATACAAAACCGGAAAGATAACGATAATGATTGTCAAGACGTATTGGAACAGTGACCTTATTCATATTGTTTGGTCCCATCCAAATACCACTTATTCCAATGGTAAAAGATATTGACCCCATAATTGCAAGAATAATTTGCAATGCATATATTTCTGTTTTGGATTTCATTTTGTTATACAATTCGTCGATCTAACAATAAAATGGAGTTACAGTTTTTCAATAGCTTATTTTATTACATGATACTGCGCACTTTTTACTATGCTCTCACAGTATATTAGTATGCATGCAAATAATAGCTTTGTTAACTGTTGAAAGAACGATGGATGAAATATAAAATCATACTTAAAATCACTTTCTTTAATTTTATGATTCGCTCGATATATATTTTAAAAAGTAACTAATCATTCTACTACTAACTGTGTATAATTTAATGATAGCGCAGGTGAAAACGAATATGTAATGAATGAGTATAACACGGCAACGAAAATCATGTTTCAATTTTCTTCGAAAATTATCAATTGTCATCATCAGGAAATAGTAACAAAAATTAAAAGTAAAACTATATATATCAATACAAGAGGAATTATTAATGTGCTAGTTTACGTTAGTAGATCAAAGATAGCACATGTATAATTCCTCTTGTGTTGATATATATAGTCTTACTTTTGTTTTTTGTTACTATTTTCTAATGATGACAATTGACAACAGTCGAAAGCTTGAAATAGAATAATTTTCGAAGAAAATTGAAACATGATTTTCGTTGCCGTGTTATACTCATTCATTACATACTTACTGTGCAATAACTAACTTTATACTTTGCTAGCGATATTATACTCTCGTACTACTAGTGCGAGTTTTGTCGGTTGATAATTAGTTTCTTTCGCCGTCATTTGCCTAAAAATAGATCAATGTTACAAATAAACGATTATTTATGTGCGCAAAGTACAGAAACATATTTTGAGATATTTTACGGATAAGCGAATCGTACGCGAGTATATGGATGCTATGCATATATATGTGCTAAAAATAGTAAGATATGACAAGTGCATGATCAGACATGGTCTCTTATTACACTATGCAGCAGAATGTACTACAAGTAAAATATTTAAATAAAATATAACAGATGGCGTCACTATATGGTATGACTTGAACAAAAAATTTATCAATTATCTTAAACAAGTTTTAGCTGCTGATCTTTTTCTGATCATTGATAAGAAGTGTTTCCTATTGATTCTTTCTTCTATGATCAAATTAATGGAAATGTAGAATTTATGAAGAACAATAACAACTGGGCATGGTGAGAAAAAAAACGTCTTAGCTGACGTTGGCAGATGTTTTGTTAAAGGTTTTCCGCAGTCATGATAAAGAAAGAACTGTGTGCTTCGCATGCATCAGATCGAAACACATTTGGCTGATCAAAACGAAAATGAAGATTTTTTAGCGATCACCACGAAATAAAGTCGCAAAAGTTCAATGAACTCTTTTCTCGTTTTTTGGTTTTTTTAAATAGTAATCGAGCCAAGCAACCACTGAAAACCATTATTCAAAACTGATACAGACGACTCGACGGATCTATTGGACACATACTCGAACATGGCAACTATAGTGCGCACTTCGCGTTGAGTTTTCATTTAGTTAGATTCGTTGAAATGAATGTTCAATCTATGACGAAGAAAAAGTGAAAAAACGGAGTAGTGAGATAGATAAGTATTATACTTTAATAACTCAATATCGTCCGCAACATCTTCATTCTGGATACTATAAATGTAAGCGCTGTTTTCGCAGAGCAGCCTTATGGTATTGCAAATTTGGTTACAAAATTTATTTTGTAGCCCTCACAGAAAAAACATACAGGATTCTACTGATATAGTATTCTGTTATGGCCAAATATGACGTACGAATACCGTTTCCAATACATTCTCAAGTGTTTTTCAAAAAACTTATTCGAGGTACATTTATTATGCAGTGTACAACACGTATAAATAGGATGAATAGTAAACTAAGTGCTTTACCTCCAATTGGAACTGTAGAATCTATGAAAGTTTCGGAATCGATTTGAAATATATTATTGAATACGAATTTTGTTCTCGCTTGTCTGAACTTCATAATATTCGACACAATAGACAATATCTTTTATCTAACTGACCGATTGTAGGTGTAAGCGAGGTCGATTTCGACGAACCATACTTGTTGAACAAACCTTATGTACTAAAGGTTTAGATACCAAACACTTGAAGATACTTTCTGATATATCTTGAGATTCTCTGTCGAATGAGAGCAGTCTCGAACAAATTGAGCTTCTTGACTGAACGAATTTTCTGTTATACATTGAAAATCTATAGTGAAACATGATTTAGTCATCCTATTCGCTGACCTCGTAATTGAATAATGGAAAGATCATTGTAGAGCCAACTCTTGTAACACTAATATCTCTTGTGCAGTGTATTATTTTGAGCTGAAACTTTGAGATTATTTCTCTCTGAGATAGTTTTATATACTGAAAAACTATGAATTAAAGGGAAAATATTGATTGACCAACGTATTGTTGTGAATGGGTCATGACTTTCATGTGATGGCTTGTAGGAATGAGAATTCCATGAAAGGCAGTGCACCCTCACCTATGGAAATTCGTGCACATGGTATCACCTGCTATCGATATTCAGACATGTAATACTCTACCTATTTCAAGTGTTAAGCTTCTTCTCTCAACAAAGCATAATAGAGAACTCATTTTTGAGGAATAAAGTGCATTTCTCAGGATTTTACTTGGAAAACTTTGAGACGTTGCCAAATGAAATGGTTCTTTTTAAATCAGTGCAGTTTTCATCTTATCTCTGTTCTGTCAATCACTATACCATGCTTATGTATTAGCAACAATCTAGCATGTCGTCCGAACAGAACTCACTTTTAAATGATGAAAATCAGGCTGAAAAAAATATTTCAAGTGGTTCGAAATTATGGTATGATGTATGGATACCTCTCATATGAAAAAAAAAAAGAAAAAATCAGCTTAAAACTGATTAATAATCAATTAAAAAAATGATTGAATATCGGTAAGAAATTTATTAAGATCTACTATAATAAACCAAAACCAACCTAGAATTGGGGTAATCAGTGGGGTATCTGTGTGAGAGCAGAGAAGACATATATCCTACATCCACACCACGCACACACTAAGCAAAAAAAAAGAGAAAAGTATCAATATGAGAGAAG